GTGTGTGTGTGTGTGTGTGTGTGTGTGTAATCCTTTTAGAGTGATTTTGGATTTTTATGGAGCTGGGTATTTAAAATTACAATTGCAAATTTAAATGAAATATCCGTAAAAAAAACCCGCTAAGCTAGAAATATGCATCATTAAGTGCAACTTTAGGACTGTACATTAAATCAATTTAGCTTGAATGAAAGCTTTATGTATTGCATGGTGCAGATATATTCAGGGCCTATGTTGATTCAATTTTCAATTCAGTTCAATGAAATTTTATTTGTATAGCGCATTTTCACATTACATTATCTCAAAGCGTTTTACATTATCTATGCCCAAACCAAAATGTTGATAATAAGATTAACTTGCCCTGGATGTATTCAGGTTAATATGACTTTTGATCATGATTAGAGGCGTAGGGGTGTGTAACGCTCAATATTTCATTTGGCTCCATTCATCTCATCAATAGACCTTTGTATTTAAATCATTACGTTGCCCCCTCTCCCAATATCACCTACGCCGTTGATCGTTAATCGTGTTTAAATCTCCCAGTCCATAAACCAGGCTTTACTTTCTGAGGTCATGTGGTACTTGGAGCCATCTACCGAACATTCAGATGTACTGCATCGCTAGCCGTTATCTTGATCTCTTGATTAATTAAAATTCTTCCCACTGTTGAAGATCTGAAAGTTAGATGGCTGCGTTGATTTATTCTGGTGACTGAAACAATATTTTCGTTTGTTTTTCGTGGTGTAATATACTTCATCTTAACATATACAGATAAAATCATTTGACATACCACGTTTGTGTAGTTTCTACGTTACAACTGCCCTACATGACATGGATGGTCATTTAATTTCAATCGGTAGATTATTAATTTATACTACAATTGGACACTATCGTGTATACCTTTAAACACGCATAATGAAGTTGCGCATAGAAAAAAAAAACAAAGTATAAAACCAAATCTAATTATGGAGATACAATTTACAAATTCATATAAGAAAATGCTGAATAAACTCGCCTGAAATAATGAATAATTTGTTTCAAATGACCCTGTCTCTATAGGATCTGAGTCAACCGTTTTGATTGGCGCATGCGATACCGATGAGTCAGTCGTGTTAACTATTAAAGTACTAAACTATTCAATAAAGAACTTCAGAGCTTCTGCCAAATCTACACCCTTACCAGTTATAGAAAGTTAAATCCCATTTCGTGTATTTGCGTAAATTTTAATAAAATGGCTGATTACCTTTAACTGTCTGTTGTGACACTGGCAAAGCCACTCACAGGAACTGGACATACACATACTTTTGTATTTGGCTTGCTTTTAGTTAGTTTTCAGTTTTTATTATTTTTAGTTGCCTTTGTATTTGGCTTTCAACGCTGGCGCATGCGCGACTCAAACCCACATTGACTCGGATCCTGTAGTGACAGACCCGTTAAGATTTGTGTCATACCAGGCATGTAAATGTGCGTGGCTGACATCAGCTGGCAGAGCGGGGGAGTGCAGTACAAGACGACGAGTGCCAGCACTTTCAGCATATCAAAACAGCACCAGCCCCCAGCTGACCTTCCGAAATGATCCCTGCTTTGTTTCCTTGTATTTGCTACGTTTGGGATTTCCACCGAATGTCCTTAACATCATGCAGCTGACTTCCTCCATCACAAGGCCTCTGGGCTGTTTCTGGAAAGAGGCGAGATCTTAAAAACGTTTCATAATATTCACTGGTATTTTATTGTACAATTCACATTAGATACTTTTTCAAAGCATACACATTCGTATAAAGACATGTTCAAACGAGTCATTTGCTTGTACAATAATAGTGAATATACTTGTACAGGTTTCTTTCACTGATGATCCCTCCCTCGTACATATTTATACTGGCAACACAAGCCCGAATCCGCTGCGTCCTATAGTCGCCCGTGGAGAATTTAACTCTGAGACACAGTTCGAGATCGACCCCAATGTGTCAGTAAGATGGGACACGCTGAAGTATCACCAAACTAAAAACAGCCATGATTAATATTATTTTAATTATTATATGATAATTGATATTAATCCACCTTACTACTTATCCATAATGAGTCGTCAGACATGTATTTATTGACCAGCTCTTGAATCTGATCTAACCCCTATTTCATGCAAAAATACTTATACTTGAAAAGTAAAAGTGGAAGCTCCATGCTGCCATCATGTATGGACGTTTTTGCCCGGAACACGTTTTAAGTGGAATCTATTGATCTTTATATTTATAAATCTATTATATCTTATATCTATTCATCTATCTATCTTCTAGACCGGTCATCCTGGTCAGGGTCTCAGGGGGACGCCGAGCCTGTTCTCAGGAAGCACTGAGCATGACGCCAATTCATCACACACTGTGTAATATATAGGTGCCAATTAGCCAAGTCGGTGCTTATCTTAAACCACTGATATGTCAAGTAATAACACTAACCACTGACCTATCGTGCTACCTACTCACTATACATATAATTGTACTAATAATTGGTCTTTACGGATTTACCGTATACCCCTTAAAAACAGTAACATTATTTTACTTGACCTCGCTTGCGACCGATCTCTGGTCTTGCAAAGTCGGTTTTTATACACGCAATTACAAATACGAAAGGCCATGGGATTTTTCATGTGACCGTGGTTCCACAATAATAACTTAATTTAAGCACCAGCTATTTAAATGACTTGCATCACCATCGCACCTAAAATATAACAGGGTACGTGTATTTAACTCTAACGAGCAGGAGAAGTCACTTGCTGTTACAAGATCATTGGGGGATGGGCAGCCTTGTTCTAGTTATCTCTGGTTTTCAGTCAGGAAATGTTTGGGTCAAATAAGAAATCAGAAAACGAGCCTAAAATTACGGTGCAGAAAAGAATCTACGTTTATAAAATGAAAATTGTACGACGGTTTATAGCTGTTTCCCCATTATCTATTCAACAAAAACTCCAAGTTTTTTTTTGTTCCAAAGAATTAAAAACACATTGAGCTAAATACTACAGAGCGCCGAGGCTTCACCAACTTGCAGTCAGCACATTTCGCTTTCAGAGCACGTGACCTGGGGCGAGCGGACACGCATGCTCCGTAAAGGACAGCGAGACAGAATAAACGAAAGGCGAAATTCATATAAACCGTCTTTCTTTATCTCTGGCAATATGAGCGATTGCGCATGCTCGCTGTTAGGATATGGAAAAGACGAATTTGGGTCTGGCTGGCCGGTTCCAACGCGCATGGTCAGTGTTTCGGGCTGATTGATGTCGCTTTTATGCGCGTCCGGGAGCCTTGGCTCGGATCGCATTTTGCTGGGAGTGCAGCGGGCACAACTTCGGGTGCAATATCGGTCGATTGGGAAATATCGGACCCAAGTCGAAATTTAACAAAGAGAAACCTAGAATGTCGGCAAATAAAGCCAAGAAAGTGAAAATGGCCACCAAATCATGCCCCGAATGCGATCAACAGGTGAGGAATTTAATGTATATCTAATTGTTTTATAATATTATTTGAATAAAATATGCGTGAGCGGAGATGTAGGCGTTGTGAGCGGGGAAGCAAAAGTTGTGTATGGCAATAGATATCAGCTAATAACATGAAATCGGACGGATTCCGGTGCGTAATCAGATCACTGTAATTTAAATGTATCGCAGTTAATTCTGTAGCTTCTAATGCAGAAATTTCTGTATCAGCGCAGTGAAAAACACGGCGAAGTCGACTATCAGTTATATGTCGCTGGATTGTCACACATAACCCTGTTCAATGACATATGCCCTGGTTTCGTTGCTCTGTTTCGTTATATTTTGACTTGCTTTAGTATAATCTGTGTGTGTTTGCTTGTTTATTTAAATCGGTTTAAATCACAATGAGACTGAAGGATTGAAATTATTCACTGCCGATGGATATGGGCTAGGTGTTTGGTTTGCCATGTATGTTTAATGGCGAATTGTATCTTTGACTTACATTATGTTTAAACTGCATTTGGGAATCATAGCAGTCTCTGCTGCAGATGTGTGTCTGTGCTGGTTTTTAATGAGGCTGCTGGCGTTGCTGTGGGGCCCCCTGCCCAAATCTGACTTTTGTCATTTAAAAGAAGGGCAAATGACAGCAGCTTCGAAATGATAAAATCCGTATTATTTAATGGTTTCTATCTGCTATGCCTTGGGATGTTAAAGAGTTTAGCATCGCTTAGAGTAATTCAGCTGTTTGTACACGAACCTCGGTACGTGATATATTTAATGATGCTATCATCAGAAGAAGGATCTTTTGCGGTGGTTGTGTTAATGTGTGTTTTCCCCTTTTTTATTTCCATCAGATCCCAGTAGCTTGCAAATCATGCCCCTGCGGATTTGTCTTCATTAGTCGAAAACTGCTAAACGCAAAATTAACCGAGAGGGCATCTCCAGCTATAGGTAATGAACGGAAACTTTTT